CCTTTTTTATTCTCTTTATTGCCTTGTAATTTTGGCAGATTATATTTGCAAGTTGAGCTCATTACTGTTTCAAAGATTGTGATCTTATTCTACTCAATAATAGTGCATTAGTGATTTGGTTCTTGGATCTTCTTTGTACCTTTCTTTGGGACAAACTCTCACATTTGTTTATGAAACTCAACTATTTGTCTACTCAATAATAGTGAATTAGTGAATTGGTTCTTGGATCTTCTTCTAATTAACAACTAGCACTGAAACTAGTACTGATCAGTGATCACCATATTTTGGGCTCGCATCTTTCTTCCTATAAAATGAACAAAGCAATCTACCGATCTATGGGAGCTCTGTTAAAACTCATAAAGATGGATGCCTCTTGGCGACTAAAAAGTTGAGAGAATTTTATTTTTCAAATAGTTGTTGGAAGAAGTTAGGTTGAATGTTTTCCAGGTTGAAGCCCTTGATATAATTCAATTCTTAATCTTTTGCTTGTCTGAACAAAGTGCTCGTGATTTTATTAGTCCTGCATGTTTCAAAAACTACAAGTGAAAATTTTCTTGAGTTTGTATTCTTCAGTGTCAAGCTGGAGAGTGAAGGAGACAGAAAGGATGATTGCCACTTGCTTTTGCACAGAACATAGTTAGTCTCTAGTGGCTTTCCTTGCACTTGATATTCCTACACCTGTCTGCCGCGCAAATCTCCCGCGCAAATCTCACGGCCTGGAGTTCCGGGCCGAGGGGATGTGCGTTAACACGGGGTTTCCTGCTTTTGGGTGCGGTGCGGTTGTGCGCGGGCGTGCCAGCACGGTTTACCGTGCGTTGATGTTTCGATGAGTTTTGGATGGATGAATTGTGCGCCTGTTTGATCTGTCTTCCTAATCAAACGATTGTAGCCGAGAGAGGAACTGGTCTCGGCTGTTAGGTTCACGGCCTGAACTACAAGGCCGTCGAGTGATGGTGTTGGTGGTTGAATAGGGAGAGAGAGAGAGAGAGAGAGGAATCATCCTTGTGCCTCTACAACCAAGCAAATGCAGATGGAAGCCACCCTTTTTTATTCTCTTTATTGCCTTGTAATTTTGGCAGATTATATTTGCAAGTTGAGCTCATTACTGTTTCAAAGATTGTGATCTTATTCTACTCAATAATAGTGCATTAGTGATTTGGTTCTTGGATCTTCTTTGTACCTTTCTTTGGGACAAACTCTCACATTTGTTTATGAAACTCAACTATTTGTCTACTCAATAATAGTGAATTAGTGAATTGGTTCTTGGATCTTCTTCTAATTAACAACTAGCACTGAAACTAGTACTGATCAGTGATCACCATATTTTGGGCTCGCATCTTTCTTCCTATAAAATGAACAAAGCAATCTACCGATCTATGGGAGCTCTGTTAAAACTCATAAAGATGGATGCCTCTTGGCGACTAAAAAGTTGAGAGAATTTTATTTTTCAAATAGTTGTTGGAAGAAGTTAGGTTGAATGTTTTCCAGGTTGAAGCCCTTGATATAATTCAATTCTTAATCTTTTGCTTGTCTGAACAAAGTGCTCGTGATTTTATTAGTCCTGCATGTTTCAAAAACTACAAGTGAAAATTTTCTTGAGTTTGTATTCTTCAGTGTCAAGCTGGAGAGTGAAGGAGACAGAAAGGATGATTGCCACTTGCTTTTGCACAGAACATAGTTAGTCTCTAGTGGCTTTCCTTGCACTTGATATTCCTACACCTTAATACATATGCCTTCTCTAACATGTGCGGGCATAATATTTCAGATGGGAGTAACAGCTGCAGAAGGACCGGGTTACTGTGTAATCACACCGCCAGAGAAACTAAACGTGACAACGATAGACACATACGAAGACAACAGAATGGCCATGGCTTTCTCTCGTGCTGCCTGTGGAGACGTTCCAGTTAAGGATCCTGGTTGTCCCAGTAAAACATTCCCTGACTACCTTGAAGTTCTTGGGAGGTTTACCAAGTATTGAACAACTATTATATAAAACATTTATAGCCAAAGCAATGCAGATGGAAGCAACATTCTTTTATTCTCTTTATTGGCTTGTAATTTTGGATCACTAATTTTGCAAGTTGAGCTCATTATTGTTTCTAAGATTGTGATCTTATTCTACTCAACAATAGTGAAAATTGGTGATTTGGTTCTTGGATCTGCAGACCCTTTTCTCTTTTTACCTTTCTATGGGACAAATTCCATCACATATGTTTATGAAACTCTAAACTATTAGTTCATCCCAAAAGCACTTTTTGTTTGTCATTGCATAGGTTTCTAGCAGCACCGTCCTGGATCTACTATACTATGAGAATAGCCATGATTGCTATATACTTTATTAGTAAACTACAAGTTGTGTAGATTTAATCACGTGTCCATGTCCAGCTTAGATTAACTTGCAGGGCATGGAACATGATGCCAGGATATTAAATAAGAGGCTACCAAGACATGTTCCCCTGTCTTTTTTGTATCAGATTCACATGGAGATGGTGATAGCTGAGTAAAATTTATGTTTTCAATAACATACATAACAACCAATGCATCTTGAGGATCAACTGTACTTAAAAATGCAGTATTCTTGGTATCTGCTACGTTACGATTTATAATCAACTTGTTCTATTCAATGGAAAATAGTCGGCTCATACCTCGAAAGTAATTAATTATCGTGTGAAATTGAAACACGATTCATGTGTCAAACTATAACTTATAAGTGAGAAAGAATGACTTCTTTGAGCTAATCAGTGAAAAGTTGAGTAAATTGAGAAGAGAGGAAGGCTTTATTCTAATGAGGAGTAAAAGATGAATTTAAAAATTGGGATAATCTTATTCCTAGTGGCAGTAGCCAAGATAAAAGGCAGATAAAAAGTGGTTCGAAAGACCAAAATTAGTTTTAGTCTTTATGGTCAGAATTCCAAAATGTAAGAGCATAATAGATGGGTGCACCAGTTGATGTATATCATAAATGTATTGGAGTATGTTGTAGGGAACGTGGGGCACAGGTGTAGGTGTGATTTCTTCAGCATTACTCTTCATTTTGAGTTGAGGGGGCAATTGCCAATTAGCTTTTTTATGAAGTAATGCAGTTTGGGCTTCTTATCCTGCAATAATATTACATTTGCAACTACCCACATGATCCTAGTCTGCCCATAAATTGCAGTATAAGATACCAAATAAGACTTCTTGGAAAGATGCTTTTGCCTTCATTTCAAGTAAGTTTTGCATTATAAGTAGTGTCTCCCATAGCCTTTAAATCATGTTTGTATAGTTAAAACGGGAAATTATTGTGTCATACTGGAACACAAAAATATTGGCGGGTGGTGAATTTTGACTTTAAGATATGATATCAATAAATTTACAAGTGTTATATGAGTTGATTGGTTACATCACGGAGCTGGTGGTACAGTCTCATCTAAACAAGATGACAGAAGGATGAAAATGATCAACCTTTATGTAGAAAGGCTTCTTGCCAGATCAAGATGTAATTGCATGTAATAAGGTTGAACAATCACACATGACAATCACGGTCTGCTTATGATGGAATTGTAAGCTCACCAACCACATAATAAATAAAAAATTAAGAAAACAAATGTAAAGCCTACTTTGAAATACAAATTCTAATCATTATTCAAGATGTAATTGCATGTAATAAGGTTGAACAATCACACATGACAATCACGGTCTGCTTATGATGGAATTGTAAGCTCACCTACCACATAATAAAAAAAATTAAGAAAACAAATGTAAAGCCTACTTTGAAATACAAATTCCAATCATTACGATCATTATGTGTTGCATTTGTCAACATAATCATGATCAGCTTATTCATCTAAGGGGGAAAAAAGACATTAATTATAGTCTTGGACAATTTTGTAGACGAAATGGTATGCAGACCTTAATAATAGCTTTCACTAATAGAAAATATAAAATACTCAAAAGTGTTCGACACTTGTAATTGCATAATAGTTCAGTATATTTATGATATAATTCAATCAACTCATTTTTTTATATATTAAAAAAAAAGGGAAATTAATCATTTCATCTTACTCATTGAATGTAAGCTCAAAAAAATTGATCAATGAAATGTAAAAGCTCAAAACAGTGACACATAACATGTCATTTTTTGATGTTCAAATCGAGATGTTTAATGTAAAAGTTCAAACAATCGAGATGTTCAAATTTTCCAAACTTTTTTTAATACTAATTGATGTAACACATAACATGTTCTTCTTTGATTTATCATACATATAAACAATAACATGTTATTATTTATAAACTATAATTGTAATGATTAATGCATCCTAAATCTCCATTATGAGAGATTGCAATTCTGACACATAACATGTCATTTTTTGATGTTCAAATCGAGATGTTTAATGTAAAAGTTCAAACAATCGAGATGTTCAAATTTTCTGAACTTTTTAAAATACTAATTGATGTAACACATAACATGTTCTTCTTTGATTTATCATATATATAAACAATAACATGTTATTATTTATAAACTATAATTGTAATGATTAATGCATCCTAAATCTCCATTATGAGAGAATTGCAATTCTCAATCCCCACATTTCTCACATATTTCAACGGTGATAAACTAAAAAAAGAGTCAAAATCTCAGCAAGCCAAAAAAAAAAAAAAAGAGTCAAAAATCTCAAGCAAAAAAAAAAAAGAGTCAAAAATCTCATCCGCACCATCTCCAACAAACCACATCCCCACGCCTCCTCAAATCCCAAACTTAATTATAACTCCAACCCAAATATAGAGAACTCTGTCACACAAAATATCCAAAAATAAATATCCCAAAATAAATGGGGCAAAAATTTAGAGGTGTTCACAACCAATCAAATGATAATCTTACAGCTTGAAATTGGGTAAACCATTACTTCCTCCTTGCATTCCTGCATCTCCATTGAAACAGTGTTTGAATTTAACAGCCGCAACAAAAAAACAATTTTTGAATTTACTTTTTTTGATCGAACAAACAATCTTTGAATTGTTTTCCTGTTCAAAGCAGAAATGAAACCAAAAGTATCAACAGCAAAATGACACCAAAACTAGCTTTCTATGATGCTTTGCAGAAAACTACCATCGATTTAACAGATTTAATTAAGTTGTACAGTTATTTGTCTTCTTGATCTCCATTACTGCCCCCATTTCAATAAATTACAGTTCTTTGTCTTCTTCATCTCCATCACCATCTCTGCCTCTCTCCTCTCTCCTCTCTCCTCTCTCTCTCTCTCAACAGTGATTAACCAAAATAAAAGCTTTGAACTTTCTTTTTTACTCTTTCTGCATAGACCTATAAACCCAAAAGGAGAGAAGCCACTGCCACCAACAACAACCCATCTCTCCAAGAAACCAGAAGATTCCCATTATCAATCAGAACATGAAAAAGAGCTAAAAAGATAAAAAGGAAAACACCAACCATTGCCCCTCACTTTTCTTATCTTCAACACCACCACCACCACCACCACCATCCCCACCATTCCCACCATAAGAAATTTCAAGGTACCCAGTTCCTCAAACCCTAAAACTGACCCAAATCCCACACTTCCCAGTCAAAATTCACGGAACCAAGACCTGGGTTTTGTCCACATTTTCCATAGAAAATGACCCAGCTCAAGCACCTTGACAACAGTCCTCCAACTCCAGGAAAGTTCAAGATGGACAAGTCTCCTTACATTCACAGGCTTCGTTGGCACGGCTCTCTTGCCAAGCTCACATTTTGGTCTTTTATCTTCTTGGGCTTGATCTTGATCTTCTTCTTCCGGTCACCGTCGTCCAATTCTCTACCGTCCGATCCCTCTCGCCGTTCTCTCAGAACCTACAATTGGGGTGGACCCGCCTGGGAAAAACGTGTCCGGTCCTCGGCCCGAGTTCGGTCCCGCCACGGAATGTCTGTTCTGGTCACCGGGGCGGCCGGGTTCGTCGGGACCCACGTCTCTGCGGCGCTCAAACGCCGAGGAGACGGTGTGCTTGGTCTGGACTGTTTCAATGACTACTATGACCCTTCATTGAAGAGAGCTCGCCAAGCGCTTTTGGAGCGGTCTGGGGTGTTCATTGTGGAAGGCGACATCAATGACTCTGCTTTGTTGAGCAAGCTTTTCGAGGTTGTGGCGTTTACCCATGTGATGCATTTGGCTGCTCAAGCTGGTGTGAGGTATGCCATGGAAAACCCTGGCTCATATGTGCATAGTAATATAGCTGGTCTTGTTAATCTTCTTGAAGTTTGTAAAAATGCCAATCCACAACCTGCTATTGTTTGGGCTAGTTCTAGTTCTGTTTATGGACTTAATACTAAGGTACCCTTTTCTGAGAGAGACCGGACTGACCAGCCTGCTAGTCTGTATGCTGCTACCAAGAAGGCTGGTGAAGAAATTGCACACACTTATAATCATATCTATGGCCTTTCCCTTACTGGGTTGAGATTCTTTACGGTTTATGGTCCCTGGGGAAGGCCTGACATGGCCTATTTCTTTTTCACGAGGGATATATTGAAGGGGAAGACCATTCCAATCTTTGAGGCAGCTAATCATGGCACAGTTGCAAGGGATTTTACCTACATTGATGATATTGTGAAGGGCTGCTTGGCGTCATTGGATACTGCTGAGAAGAGTACTGGGAGTGGGGGAAAGAAGAAGGGGCCTGCTCAATTGCGGGTTTTCAATTTGGGGAATACATCACCTGTTCCAGTTTCGGATCTTGTGACCATTTTGGAGAGGCTTTTGAAGGTGAAGGCCAAGAGAAATATAATGAAGTTGCCTCGTAATGGGGATGTTCCGTTCACGCACGCAAACATCAGTTCGGCTCAGAGGGAACTTGGGTATAAGCCCACAACAGATCTGCAGACAGGGTTGAAGAAATTCGTTAGGTGGTACGTCAGCTACTATTCTGGTGGGAAGAAGGCTTCTGGGTGATAAATTCTTTTGATTGTGTGGTAGATCCTTTGAATTCTTGTTCATTATAATTCTTATGATTGTTTTTAACATTTCCGTCATTGCCTTGGGTATCGGTTTTCCATATCTTAATGATGTAATGCCATATGAGGAGGAACCTTGTGACCTACAGTGAAGAAGTTTTGTGGTTGGGGGACATTGTTTTCTGAGCACTCCCATGCTGTATTAAGAGAATACGAGGACCATCTCTTTTTTTTTCTTGGAATGTAATTGTTGGAGCTACGGCGTTGTAGAATTAATGACTGATAGAGCATATGCTAATTGGTGGACATGTATCATTGCCATGCAATTCAATAAAATAGCACACGATAGTTTGGTTCCTTCCTTACTACTATATGAAGTGAATCACAGTTACTTTTGTGTAATACCTTATTTGTTTATCATAAAATTTGTTTTGTATAATTGATGTCCATCAATTCCTTTGCTGCATTTTTATGGATAATCTTGCAGCTGACTTTGTTGCCCTGCACTCTGACCTTTTAGAGCCAGCTTAAGTGTGTCATGTCGCTCATCTGCAAGACTAAGCCTGCATGCCCCTTTGTTGGCTTAGACTTAAGGACAGATCATTCTTGTATGTCAGGTTTGCACTTCAGTTTTCTTTTGCATCCTGGTTTATATTGTCATTAATACAGATGGCATGTGGGATATGCTCAAATTATATGTTCTTCTAGGCTGTTTATTCCTTGTTAATCTTCTAGGAATATCTGAAAATTCATTACTAGAGTTTGGTAAGTTATAGATGGAATAAAACTCACTTTTGTGTTTCTTTCTAGTTTCTACATAGAGGAGTGTTTTACTGTATTCCCCTAAATGAAATAAGAAGCCAAAGAACTTCTAATCATTACTCTGATTAGTAAATGGATCTCTCTATCATTTTGTTCTCTCCCAATTTAGGGGTTCTTATTAACTTTTTTTCTTGTCTTTTGATGAAAGGCAAATAGTATGGAAGTACTTCAAAAGTGGAAAGTGAAAAACTTCCCAATCAGAGTACCTACAATTCACCACCAATGTAGCAATTTCCAATTTCTGATACTCAATATGACATATCCATTCTGAAATGATAATTTTGGCAATCCAAAAATTTGTTTATATATCTTCCTTTTTATCTTCAATTTCCTTTGTTAAAACTTTGCAGACTTGACCTTTTTCTTTGCTTCTTCCTCTGATTTTGAAAGACCTTTTCGGCATTATATGTATCCTAAAACTACCACAAGTAACTTTGTCATTCTTTTCTGAGTTATGTTTCCTTATTAGTGCATGGGATAGTGTTGTCTATTGTCTTTGTTTAGCAGTGAGTTGTGATAAAGATGATAATTACATAGTTCAAACACCCGGTTGGACTTTTCCAGTATGCAAGTAGGGTAATTAAAGATTGAAAGGTTTTGCATAAGCAGCAGTATGTATAATAGCAGTGCCCTGGAAGAAAAGAGTTGCTTTGATTTTCATTACAATTAATTTATGTTCTATAATCATTCTCATGCTCTGCAAATTTTAGATCCAGAAGGCAAGGATTCTCTTGGCTTTGTTAAACTTTTTGCAAATGCTTTCTATATTAGTTTGTATTTAAAGGCTGATAAGTTGCAGGAACATTGAATCGTTGAGATTTTTTGCTTTAGGCGGTAAATGATGCTTCAAGAAGTTCGAGAAAGGGTAATATTCTTTTGTCAGATATCTGGCGTATTATGTTATCAAAACTGTTAATCTGGAGCATACGTTCAACAAGAAACCATCTAATTGTGTTAACATATAACATGTGTTGGGTAAAAGAAAGAAAATATTAAGTTTTGGCAGAACATGCAGAAAAATGATGCTTATTTCTTCAGGAGTATGAGGCCAGAGTATACACCATTGCCTCCTCTATGTGTCAAGCCTGCTGATTTCTAAAGGTTGTCTTCCTTCTTGTCCCTGACATTTGACATGTAGAATGGAACAAATTGGGAAAGCTTCAAGTGTAAGGAGTTTTCTACCTATCTGTTTAACATCAAGTTTATTTGTGATGTTGTGGTTTTTTCGTTTTGTCTGTCATTATGCGCTTTGGTGGGAGGCCGCCCCCCATTAACAATTGAATTATTTTGATGGCCTGAATCTAGGCTTCCCATTTGGACACTTCGGAGAACTGAATTATTTTGATGCCTGCTTTAACTTGTCAGCAAGCCTGGTAACATATCAAGAATCCAATGATTTGGCTCCACATGGATTGCTTGAACTGACATCATTTGGATTTTGCTAAATGGAGTCAGTCGCATACGTAGCCGATTGTTATGAGATTCTTTGTGAGAGCCTCAACTAACTGAGTGCGTGAACAACTGATGCTAATATACATCTCGACATAACATTAACGTAGTTTAAAACTTACAGCATTGTTTGCTTCATCAGGAATCAAACACAATGGTAATCTCATCTTCAATCTCATTATCGCTAAGCTCAAACTCTGGTGCTAATAACCTCCCAAGTGGGCAGTTGTACAGCTCAAAACTATTGGTTCCTGGCCCCCCAACAATGAGTTGGAAAACAATAGCAAATAAGTGGAGGCAGGCAGTTTTAGTTATATGCATAGCCCCAAATAAAAGGCCAAGAAGCTATGCAGCTATTACTGCATTTGTACCTTCTCAAATGGTCGCCTACCAAACTTCATTACTGCATTTGCCATGATTTCCGTGCTTGTCTCTGAGAATGAGATGCAACTTATTACATGAATCTCAAAAGATTATGTACCTTTTTGGTTGGAGGGAAGAATAGGCGGCAAGTTGACCTACCATACTCTCAAGTCTCAAGCATGTAACAAATTATTTTAATGGGCTTATTACATGAATCTTATGTGTTATACACCAAGTCCTCACAAATCTGTAACATTGTACAATCATTGTGGAAAATGCGTATGGAACTTGATATGCATGCGACATCATTATATTTAATCGTTAAACACAAATGATTCCGAGAAAGCACCATATGACGTTCTACTAAAACAAAAATGAGAACTTAAAAGAACAATAAACATCAAGCAAACCCATATAGCAACTAAACATTTTATACAGTCCAAAAATAAAAAATAAAATTGTTATTGGCAACTTAAACTACTCTTGAGAAATTAGATGCTCACTTATGATTGGGCGGACTAGTGAGATGTTAAGGATGTGCATGCATTGTTGGGGCGTCCCACATCGAAAAGGAGCAAAAGGAGACCCGGCGACAGGGGCATACAAGAGGAAACGCCATCAGCTTTGTAAAAGCACGCAGCCGCGCGCTGAGCACAAAGCGAACTATTCTTTCGCCTTTTACTAAAGAATACCGTGTGCTCGCCGCAATTAGCGGCATACGCCAATTTTTTAAAGGAGTTTCTCTTCACAGAGAAGCTCTTACAATGTAGTTTCCAAGTTTTTATATCAACGGTTTTTTTTTCCTCATCTCTCTCTCATCCACCTTAAATCTGAATATTTTTCAAAATTATTGTAGAAGTCATTTCAATAAAGTCTATATGCAGAGAAGGCTGGGACTTTCATGATCGAGAATACCTCCGTTAGTTTCGATTCGATCAGATTATAAAGAACTTTCATTACACACATAAGTACTTTTCTGGCAACTTTTAGATATAAAGCTATAAGGTGCTGTGCTCATGACAAACTTAAAAGAAAACTGTTCACTTTGATAATGAAAGGCAGCTATAGTTTCGATTCGATCATCAGACTATAAAGAACTTTCATTATACACATAATTACTTTTCTGGCAACTTTTAGATATAGCTATCACTACAGCATCAAGCAGAAACGAAGTAGGCATAAGAAGGCCACTGTGTTTCTTGCACTGCCATGATGAAGAAATGAGAAACTTCACAGAATAATGAACTGACAAAGCACAAGAACCAGACCTTCCAATCAAGGCAACGCCACTCCAAATAGCAGACACATGAAGTAGATTCTGTTTCGTTTCGATTCTTTTCCGACCGGGAACTTGGACAACCTCAAAGATTCTGTACATACTTTTCCAGTGCACCACCCAAGCAGTGCAGGTTTGACATCCGCAAGAAACCCTTCAACATCTGAAAGAGAGAGAATCTTATAGATTTGGCAATTCAGCATTGCTAGTCAATTTGATTAACTAGTCATTTCTGTACGTCACAAAAGTCTTGAGAGAAAAACAGCTAGATCATTATCGTTAACAATGCAAGTTCACATCAACTTCAGGAGTAAAAGATGAAATGTTTGTACCAATGTTTTGATTGAAACTTGTGCTTGATGACCTTAGTATGTGATTAATGGAGAATTGCGACTACCTCAAATCTCAAATGAAAATGATCATCCATTAGCAAAAGTTATCCCACATCGGAAGATAGACAAATAGTCCTTGCCTGAATGCGGCTAAAAGGAGACATCATCAACCTGAGCAAACCACGCAGCCACTCGGTGGACACAGAGCGAACTATTCTTTCGCCTTTTACTAAAGAATACCGTGTGCCCACCGCAATTAGTGGCATACGCCAGTTTTTTTGAGGAGTTTCTCTGAACAGAGGAGCTCTTACAATTTAGTTTCCAAGCATTTCTTTTTAATTGTAGTTGTCTCTAAACCAAAAAGTTTCGACTCTTTTTCGGCTTCACAGTTGGTAAGAGTTCAAACGTTGTACTGGTAAAAACCCAAAATCATAACATCAATAACAAGAAAGATGGACTTGCAAGACCTTTCTTCCATTAAAATTTGGTTGGTACTTTCATTATATACATAAGAAAAGTACTTTCTATCTAGCAATGTAGATATAAAGATATCACTACAACATCAATTCAAGCTGAAAACCGAAAGCCCCAATCTCATTTCCATTGATAAGGGAATTGCTAACTACTACGACCAGCTTAACATGTGTTACAAAAAGGGAGAACTGTTACATCTCATTAAAGCTGAGGTAGCCAGCCAACGGGTCAAAACGAAAAGGAGAAATGGAATGATTGCGCCCCAACTGATGCAGGTTCAGAAAGGTATCGGCTTTCTATCGGGCCACGATTCTATTTGCTCGAAGTACTTGACTGGCACAACACCATCAAAACCTTCAGTCAAGATTACCTTGTTCTCTGAAATGTAAAGCTTCATTCCCTCTGCAACAAAAATTTAAAATAAACAAAACTTCAGGCATAAGAAGTCCTCTATGTTTGCTCAACTACCTCAATAAAGAATAAAAGGTGATGTGCTCATGACAAACTTAAAAGAAACTTTACACTTTGATAATGAAAGGTTTGCAAAACATACCTTCTAAAGCTTTTCTGACATCGAGATAGATCAAAACATTAACATCCCGTCTCATACCTAAAAGAATACAAATCAAATCAATTACCAGCAGAAGCTGAATAATGTTACTGTCTTGGATTCTTTCTTCACAATCATTACCAGTATAGCTCACTACCTCATGATAGTCATTATCATTTAAAAGTATGGAGAAGGAATAATTCAATACACGCGGTAGCCCAGTAAACAATACTGTATGCCCAATAGCTTCCAAGAAAAGGATTCTGAAACAATTGGTGACCTTAGATGCAAAATGCCCTGAGCTTAGACCTCAAAGGGTCACAGATAAACAATGTGGGGTAATTATCATTACAAACTTTAACAAGTTCAACTGGGAACGACATTATTTCATTAGCTCCCTCTTGTCTGCAACTCGCTTAAGAGTTAATGAACCATGAGACAAGTTCGATCAAGTCTACCTTTCAAATTGGCACATTTGCAAGGGCCAAAGGATGTGCCATAGGAAAAATTATTGTAGACATCATTTCAATAAAGGCTAATGCAGATGGCTGGGACTTTCATGATCAAGAATACTTCCGTTAGTTTCGATTCAATCAGACTATAAAGAACTTTCATTATACACATAAGCAATTTTCCGGCAACTTTTAGATATAAAAGCCATGACTAAAGCATTAAGCAGAAACGAAGTAGGCATAAGAAGTCCTCTGTGTTTCTTGCACTACCATGATGAAGAAATGACCAACTTCACAGAATAAAAGCACAAGAACCAGACCTTCCAATCAAGGCAAGGCCTCTCCAAGTAGCAGACACTTGAAGTCGATTCTGTTTCCTTTCAATTTTCAGACCGGGAACTCGAAGTACCTCAAAGAGATTCTGTACATACTTCTTTTTCCAGTGCACCAAGCAGTGCATGTTTAGCATCCTCAAGAAACCCTTCAACTTCTGAAAGAGAGAGAATCTTAGAAGCACGCAAAAGCTTAACAGCAGCATTGGACTGCAGTCCAATTTCTTTAAAAATTTCAATGAAATCCTATAAAACATATAATATTGAAAATTATAACAGAAAAAGGAAATCAGCACACCAAAATCTTCAACTGCTGACACCATCCACAGTGTTCCTCACAACATGCTTGTAAAGATACAATAAACAGAAAATGCTTGGATACAAAGGAAAATAAATCACATGCTCCAAAATGCTAAGATCAAGGGGCTCTACTTATACCAAAGGTGCATCATATGCTTTGCAGATGCAGTTAGTATTAGTAATAGCAAACTTAACTGAATGTAGCAAATAAAGATATATAAGAAAGCCTAAATTTTAAAACTACTGCTTATAATTACCTTCAAACCATGATAAAATCATAATTGAAATCCATGAACAGTCCTTCAGTGGATTACTTTTTCTGCATATGAAAGTAGTAATCTATGAGATACCATTCATGAAATCAACTGCTTCACTGAACTTTTGAAACATAATAAAAAGACTACAGAATTGAAGAAGTTGGTTTGCTCTTGGACTTGCGAGGAAGGAAAGTCAAAGTAGAAGAAGAAAAATGAAGAAGAAAGAGGCATACAATAAACGAAGAAAAACATAGAATTAAACTGCTGAATTACAGATATCAAAAGATACAAGAAAAAATCCGTTAATTTAAAGATGGAAAATGAAAACACAACAGAGAAATTATCCTCGATATTTTCAAATTAAAAAGTACCTAGTGATGACAAAAACTCCTCAAGTGTTCCCCCCAGTACAAGGGAAGGTACATGTTGGATTTTGTAGAAATCCTCTCCTCCTTCTTGAAGTCTACTATAAAATGTCCCAGGCATCGCCTTGATGACTAGTTTCTTGAGGGTAGTAATATATTTTAGCCCATCTGGAAGTGCTGTTAATTGTTCACAGTGTGCAATCAGCAATCGAGCGAGATTAGGCATGGCTCCTTCCTCCACTCTCCATTCCTCTATTTCAAGCATCCCACCAAGATAAAGAAATTCAAGATGAGAAAAGCCTCCTCTGGAGAAAACCAGTGTTGTAGTGTTCTCCTCAAAAGTACCTGGTCCAAGATGAAGATTTTTTAAGTTGGGAAGCTTCTCCAGTATTGCCATCTGGTCATCCTTGAGAAAAGTTGCAGCCAACGATAACTTAGTGAGGTTTGGATAGTGCAGAAGGTCATTTGGTAATTCTATGGTTGGCCCTTCCAGATGTAGCTTGTATATATAACGACAGCTTATTACTATCCTTGCTATAACTTCCACATATCTCTGTAAGTTGACTACAGATAGAGACCTAAGATGGTCAAATGTGATACTTGTAGATGTGAACATTTCCTCCAGCCTTTTCAACCGTCCTGGGACAACTACACACAATTTTCTGAGATTGGTAAACTGAGCAAGATGATTTGAATCACAATCCCGACATGAAGCATTCACTAACGTCTGCAAATTGCAAAGTGTTGTGAGGTGCAATTTATCACTTACCCTGAAATAACGGGGTAAATATAAATGCCTCAGTTGTTCCATCTTGCATATCACATTGGGGATTATTGACAAACCAGGAAAACGTAAATCTAGAGTTTGCAAACATATCAAGTTAGCAATGGATGATGGCAACTGTTTTATATTACTACCCTTCAAACTCAAAAATCTTAAGTGAACCAGGTTCCCAATTTCATTCGGCAACTTTACTTTTCTAGTCATATGCTCAAACTTCAAAACTCTAAGCAATTTGAAATCCTTGAAAAGTGATCTTATTAGCTTTTTATTTATTGACATCCCAGGTCCCGGGACAAAGTACAGAAGAGACCTAAGATGGCCATCACTTTCATCATTCGGTGGAAAAACTTTATCAGAATGCTTGTCGAAATAGATAGCAAGTCTTCGAGCTTTACTTATTGGTGTTTCTTTGTTTACCATTGCCTTATTTCCATGCCAAGAATTGACAATTCGGAGAAATTTCTCCTCTTCTGCCTTTAACAAGCACAAATGTCGCATAAGATCATGGAGACGACAAGTTTTAATCTTTCTAACTGAACCTTGTTTTCCAACTTCAACCATACATCTTTCCACCAACTCATTTAAGCAATTGTATGATACATCCTCCATTGAACTTCTCTTTTGCTCTTCCGAAAATATAAGTCCTTCTGCCATCCATAATTGAGTCAATCTTTTCACCGGTATCTCAAAATCCTCAGGAAAATGACCTAAATATAGAAAGCATAGTTTTAAGTGATACGGTAAGGAATCATAACTCAATGCCAACACCCACGATGAACTTGCATATTCTTGCTCATGGAATTTGCCTTTCCTTATACATACATCAACATTATTAAGCACCATATCCCACTCATTGATTGTATCCATTCTAGCTAGAAGTCCTGCCAGCACTCTGATTGCTAATGGCAGACCTGCACAGTGATTAAGCATCTTCCTTCCTAGTTCTTTCATCTTGCCATGAATTACGGAATCTGAAAAATAATAAACATAACCAAATGTACAGCAGTTTCTTTATTAACAGGTAACAAATGTGTAATATAACAAACAAAGTAAACCATTTTATCATCAATGTCCATTGTCTGCCCAATACTAACACCACAATGAAACTTTGTGATCTTCTTCACCTTATGCCAAGGCAATTAAAAAACAAAATGAATGCCAAATGCATCGAGTTTATAAATTTCAGTACACCAAAGATGCTTGAGATATTGTCCAATGGTACGTAATGTCCAAGACTAGTTTTCATTTTCTAAGTCTATGACGATATGAATAACTATAATCATCAGCAGTATCTAAATAATAGTTATTTAATTTTATGGTGTTTGTTTCAATGGTCGTTTATTAGCATTAGTGATTTCAAATGGTCTTTTATCACAATTTCCAGTTATGATTTCAAATTAATAACAATAAGACACCAACGTAATACTACTCCAAGAAATTATTATTGAGAAGAACATTGTGTATTGTAGCTCAAGTGAAACTGTACTAGACTCTTTCTAATTCCTTGATTTTTGCAACAAAAAAGAGAAGATTCATATTGCTTCTACGTAATATGACATATCCTCACGATGCAGAAGTATGTTTCTGTAACACTTAGGAATTAGTAAAATGCAGAGAATGAGTTTAAAAAAAACATTGCTAAATGGAATGCAATAGTTTAAATTAGGCTCAACTAACAAATAAGAAAACTGTACGTAAAAAGTTTGGGTGAGATATTACCAATGTCCTTTCCAAAGATTGCTATCTTCTCTAACAGTTCCCAACTTTCATCATCATTTAGTGGTTGAGGTTGGTAGAGGAAACCATTCCTATCTGCACGAGAAGCTACTTCTTTGTTACGAGTAGTGAGTAAAATTCTGCTCCACTTTTCCTTATATGGAAATCCAGCTTTTAGGGAGTTCCACGTCTCAATAGTCCAAATGTCATCAATGACCACCAAACATCTCCTTTCTTTTTGGACGACATAAAGCTTCTTGGCTATTTCATCATCCTTCAATTTTGCAATTTCTTCTCTTTCCTCATTTGTGGCAGATGTAAGATTAATTAAAATTCTTTCCCAAACATCTCTGACTTGACATCTTTGAGTTATACACACCCAAGCAAAACAAGCAAAATGGTGTCTAACTTCATTATGATGATAAACTTGTTTCGCAAGAGTGGTCTTTCCTAAGCCACCCATACCCCAAATAGAAATAACTCGGTGGCGGTGTTCATCTTTCACCAAATGCATGACCAATTCCTTTATGCTGCCCTCCAACCCAACCACATCACTATCAATAACATGAGAATAAGTTCGCCTCAGTTGTTGCTTTTCATGCAATTCAAAGGAAGTAGCACCTCCACTGTCCCTTATTTCCCTCACGTTATAATTTTGCAAACTCAACCTCAAATTAGAAATTTTGGTCGTAATGTTCCCAATTTCTGAACCGATCATTTGAAGACGAACTCCTTCAATCAAGATGCAACCAAACCTTTTGAGAACACTCTTAATACCTTTTTTACTCTTGGAAGCCACTTTGAAAGCGAAAGTTTCAATGACATCCTCCAATTCATAAGCAGCATCTCGAATTTCTGCAACCCAAATGCGTACTATTTCCTCGTCTTGTTGTCTTGCATCTGCATCTTTCAGGAAGCCCCGCATCAACTGCAGTTGGGTTTGTGCATACTTCACTTGATCGCTGATTCCACACAAGAATTTCCCTTCCTGAATGATAAATCCTCCCAGGCTTTGGACCACCGAGGAAACAACAGCCTCAGCCATACTTCTCTCTCCGTGCCAAAACAAAAACAACTCAGAACAAGTTTCTTTTCTCTTTTCCTATAAAAAAAAATGTTATTCCTTCCATTTTAGAAGCCAAGTCAACTTTCTTCACCAAAATCCAATTCGAAAATCAGCACAACTTTAGCATGTATAATAGTATTCACGGACATTCTCAACCGAAAAAAAAAAGTTACACAGCACCCCCATCTAAATCAGCTAAAACAAAACATAATCAACACACAGCAACATCTCCAGAAACTACAATTATTAAGTTCTGCTAAATTGCTAATGGAGAAAACCAAAACATGAACCAAAAGAAAAAAAATCCAGCTCGGCACCACAAAAAAATAGAAACGAAAAACCACATAATAACAGTTGCAAATCAGAGGTGAAAGAGAGAAAAGAAGACCACTTACCAGAAATGAAGCGTGTTGTAGTTGAACCCTGGAGCTGTGTATGTACCTTGGTTGGTTCGAAGCTAGCTAATAGATTTGGTAGTCAATTTGAATACAAGACATAACTAATAAGCTGAAGGATGCCTCCAGACACGTTTTTCAGTTGAACTAGAGTAGAAGGTGGGCCCAGTTTGTTTGAGAAATTCTTCAGTTACTGTGCCATCTACCTCGTGTTATAATCCACTAATATTATAACACATTTTATTTATCAATGGTATTATGATAATGTTAAAGAGACAGCATTATACTCCAGCGGTGCTGGTGGAGATTGGGTACTCTCACAACCGACGCCAGGGCATACCCACAGTCTCAAGCCGGAAGGACTTACGCGTGGCACCCAATTGCCAACTGCCATCGATATGGATTTATGTAGGAAATTACAGATTGAGCACCAATGAGGATTATTGGTAGTGGGACTCGAATATGGGGCTACACATAGTACAAGGACCTTACCAACTGAACCACCCCTCATTGATTCAAGTTTCACTCCTTCCAAGATAGGCAAAGTCCACCAATACTCACTTCTATTAAAGAAGTTTTATCATCATAAAATATAAACTCATATCCTACTTATATTAACATGTAAGTAAACATATTAATGGAATATTAATGGGTAATTCTCATATGTTTGATTGGTTCATTACTCACTCGTCAGTACATTTTTCATCTACACACAAATCACAATTTGATTTACAAATCTTTTATTTATTTTTTGCACTCTTAACAAGTCATTTTTGTATATGTAACAAAAATTTGAGAGAAAAACCGCTAGATCATTTATCATTATGCAAGTTCACATTGACTTCAGGAGTAAAGCATGAAGTATTACCAATGTTTTGATTGAAATTTGTGCTTGATGGGCTTAGCATGTGATTAATGCAAAATTGCGACTACCTCAGATCTCAAATGAAAATCGTCATCCATAAGCAAAAGTTATCCCACATCGGAAGATAGACAAAAAGTCCTTGGTAGAAAGCAAGTAAAAAGGAGACATCATCAACCTTCGCAAACCACGCAGCCACGCGGTGGACACAAAGCGAACTATTCTTTCGCCTTTTACTAAAGAATACCGTGTGCCCGCTGCAATTAGTGGCATACGCCAATTTTTTGAGGAGTTTCTCTGAACAGAGGAGCTCTTACAATTTAGTTGCCAAGCATTGTTTTCTAAACCAAAAAGTTTCTACTCTATTTTTGGCTCAGACTTGGCAAGATCTCAATGTAGATATAACAAGAAAGATGGACTTGCAAGACCTTTCTTCCAATAAAATTGATTTGGTCATCTCAGATTCTCAATAATACTTTCACTAGATATAAAGATATCACTACAACATCAATTCAAGCTGAAAACCGAAAGCCCCTACTACGACCAGCTTAACATGTGTTACAAAAAGGGAGAACTGTTACATCTCATTAAGCTGAGGCAGCCAGCCAACGGGTCAAAAACGAAGAGGAGAAATGGAATGATTGCGCCCCAACTGATGCAGGTTCAGAAAGGTATCGGCTTTCTATCGGGCCACGATTCTATTTTCTCGAAGTACTTGACTGGCACAACACCATCAAAACCTTTAGTCAAGATTACCTTGTTCTCTGAAATGTAAACCTTCATTCCCTCTGCAAAAAAAATTGAAAATAAACAAAACTTCAGGCATAAGAAGTCCTCTATGTTTCCTCAACTACCTGAATAAAGAATAAAAGATGGTGTGCTCATATGACAAACTTAAAAGAAAACTTTACACTTCGATAATGAAAGGTTTGCAAAACCATACCTTCTAAAGCTTTTCTGACATCGAGATAGATCAAAATATTAACATCCCGTCTCATACCTAAAAGAAAACAAATCAAATCAATTACCAGCATAAGCTCAATAATGTCAATGTCTTGGATACATTCTTCACGGTCATTACCAGTATAGCTCATTACCTCATGATAGTCATTATCATTTAAAAGTATAGAGTGTTAGCATATGTAGGAATCCTATGACATAATAGATTACATTTTGTCATCTTGTGAAACACAAAGACCAAACCCCTCACCTTGTCTCACGGAACACTTGGGTTCAAGAAAGTCTTTCTTTCTTGTCTTATGTAGTCCTTGTTTCATGGAGGACTTTGGTATTCTTGTCTTATGGAGTCCGTGTCGTGTTTTATAATAATTGTAAGCAATTAGTTGTATAAATGAATTAGAAGAAACAGAAAGAAGAAACAAGTTGAAACCAGAAAATGCTGTGCAACTCTCATTCTCTCTACACTCTCCACTCTCTCCTCTTAATCTTCTCTATATTTTCCCAACTTTGACATAGAGAAGGAATAATTCAATACAAGCGGTAGCCCAGTAAACAATACAGGCGCGCAGGTGGTCTTTTTTTTTATTATAAATAGTCCAGCGGAGCGGCTATACTCGGAGTTTTTTTTATGGGGCCGTGCGTGGTGAACAGAGCAGTTCATCAAGCCATTTCTCGCCTCAACTCTCTAAATAGTAAGACAGTACGGCCGCGCGGCTATATTATTATTTTAAAATAGTATCGCCGCCCCGCTATACTATTTTTGACACGTGGCGAAATTGGCGCTCAGCGGGTGCCCTTTTTATTATAAATAGTATAGCCGCGCGGCTATACTCGGGGTTTTTGTAATAAAAATAGTATAGCCATACAGCTGGCTATACTCGGGGTTTTTGTAAAAAAATAGTATAGCCATACGAATATACTATTTTTGACACGTGGCGAAATGGGCACTAGCGGCAGGCGGGACCTCTATATAGGATAGCCGTGCGGCTATACTCGGATTTTTTATAATAAAAATAGTATAGCCGCACGGCTATATTGTTTTTACACCTGGCGAACCCGGCGCTAGGCGGTAGGCGGTAGGCGGGCCCTCTTTTACCCTTTTTAACAAATAGTATAGCCGCCTGGCTATACTCGGGATTTTTTTATATAAAAAATGCGTATAGCCGCTCGGCTTTACGCAGGTCTTTTTTTATAAATATTTTTAATAAATAGTATAGCCGGTCGGCTATACCCTTAACATATGACAGGGTCATGAATATAAAAAATCTACACTTATAAATAACCCTATTCAAACACATTACCGCTAATAAGTTGCCCATCAGTTGGCAATCCTCGTGAGAAGTGAACATGCAATCGGTTCATGCTCTTTAGATCAGACTCTAATATTGATTCTAAATTCTTCCTATGGGTTCCATGCACGCATACTGCACATCAAGGGGAAAGAAAAAGGGTAAAGAAAACACAACAAGGTATCCAAATTCTTCCTATAGGTCCCAAAGCTCTGCTTTCTTATCTTCGTATTCTATATGAAACTCAACTTTAACAGCTATGATTCCAAAAGAAAAGGGAAAAATATGAATTTTCTTTTCTTTTGCTGGAGCCCTCTAACGCTCAATTATATATATATATATCTATCATGAAGCTT